GACATTGATATAGGAAAAAGGATTTTAAGACAATTTTTATACGGTATTTATATTAACGAAAAAATTTAAAAAATGTTCTTTTCATTATTTTCGAATACAATGCGATGGGCGCATTGCGGGGTGAGTTAACAATCACATCAGAAAGAAGAAATAATTATTACATGTTATTAGCAGATTAAAGGTTTATTGAAACTTTTAAAAAATATGAATATCGCTACTAATATCGGAACTATCGCTCATACATAAAATGAACTCAAATGAACAGCTGCAGTATTTGCAGACAAATGACAAACAATTTATGCAGTCGCATCGGTGAAGTGCCATTCGTCTAAATGTGTTATGTATGTATAGGAAAAGTATGTACGATTACTGATGTGACTCCTAACTTATTCGTTTTGTATTATAGAACATAATGAATATGATAAATCTTAAGTTGATTTAGATTATTTGTCAGAGAAATAAGCTTTTCTGCCCAAGGGTTCTATCTGGGTTTATCCTACTCTATTACCCGTTTCTGTGTTATAGTCTGAGGAGTATAGAGAGCCTGTATAGTTAAAGTTGTGACCGATAGTCTCCAAGGTTTCAAAATATTCTACCAAAAAATTATACTTGATAATTTGGTTAAATATTTTCGCATTTGGATTTGAACAAAAAAAAAACATTGGTAAAAGTCAAGTAAAGGCACAGTCTTTATATATATGTCCTAATTCTGGGAACAAGCTCCCTGTCATATCTGTGAGAACGCTACTTTTATATATATGTCCAAATCCTGGGAACAAGCTCCCTCTCATATCTGTGAGAACGCTTCTTTTATATATACATATGTCCTAATTCCTGGGAACAAGCTCCCTGTCATATCTGTGAGAACGCTACTTTTATATATATATATATATATATATATATGTCCTAATACTGGGAACAAGCTCCCTGTCATATCTATGAGAACGCTACTTTTATAAATATGTCCTAATATTGGGAACAAGCCCCCTGTCATATCTGTTAGAACGCTACTTTTATACATATGTCCTAATACTGGGAACAAATAAAAATGAAAATACGGGCGAGGATGGAATTACAGCGGAACTTCTGAAAGCGGGTGGAAAACTGGTACTTGAAGTCCTTCAGAGGCTCTTTAATTCCGTCCTCCATGGTGGCACTACTCCGGAGGCGTGGAGTAGAAGTGCGGTGGTCTTGTTCTTCAAGAAAGGTGACAACGCCCTCTTGAAGAACTACAGACCGATATCCCTTCTGAGCCGCGTCTACGTGTTGTTTTCGAGAGTCATTACAAATCGTCTCGCATGCAGACTCTACGACTTCCAGCCTCCCGAACAAGCCAGTTTCCGAAAAGGCTTTAGTACCATAGACCACATACATACCCTTCGGCAAATTGTACAGAAGATCGAAGAGTACAATCTGCTACTTTTCCTTGCGTATATGAACTATGAAAAGCCTTTGATTCCGTTGAAATTTGGGCGGTGCTACAGTCTCTTCAGTGGTGCCAAGTTGACTGTCGGTATATCGAAGTGCTGAAGTGTTTGTACAGTAGGGCTACGATGGCTATCCGAGTAAAGAACCAGAGTACGAAACCTATCCAACTGCAGAGAGGTGTAAGACAGGGTGACGTTATTTCCCCGAAACTCTTCACCGCTGCATTGGAAGACGTTTTCAAGCTACTGGGCTGGAAAGGATATGGTATTAACATAAATGGTGAGTATATCACTCACCTTTGAATTGCCGACTTTATAGTCCTTATGGCAGAATCGCTGAAGGACTTAAGCACTATGCTCAATGACCTCAATTGTGCCTCCCAACGGATATGTCTTAAGATGAACATGGACAAAACAAAGATCATGTTTAATGTCCATGTCACACCTATGCCGGTAGGTGTTGGGAGCACAAAGCTCGAAGTTGTTGACGAGTGACGAAAATAGTCCGTAGGTAAGTCCAGTCGGTTTCAACTAGGATGGGCAGCGTTGAGGGAAATTACAACACATTTTCTCGTCAGGTATACCTCAAAACCTGAAAACTAAGTTGTACAACCAGTGCGTGTTGCCAGTGATGACATATGGAACTGAGACGTGGTCCTTCACTGCTGGCCGTATGAGGACGCTCAAAGTCGCTTAGCGAGCTATGGAGAGGCCTATGCTCGGAGTTTCTTTGCCTGATAAACTTAAAAATGAGGATATCCGCAGTAGAACCAGAGTGACCGACATAGCCCAACGGATTAGTAAGCTGAAGCTGAAGCTGAAATGGGCCTGCCATATAGCTCGAAGAACCGACAACCGTTGTGGGAAAAAGGTTCTCGTGTGGCAGCCTCGTACCGGTAGACCAAGTGTAGGGCGATCACCCATTAGATGGAGTGACGACCTGGTAAGACATGCAGGAAGTCGATGGATGCAGGTGGCTCAGGACCGTGCTTTGTGGCATACCTTGGGGGAGGCCTATGTTCAGCAGTGGACTTGTGAAGGGCTGTAATGATGATGATGATGATGACTGGGAACAAGCCCCCTGTCATATCTGTGAGAACGCTACTTTCATTATATATATATATATATATATATATATATATATATATATATATATATATATATATATATATATATATTTCCATTTTTATATATATATATATTATTTTTTCATATACGGTCGAGCCGACTCATTCGTGATACAACTATACTACTAATATAACTGCAGAATATAGCTCTACCACGTAAAAGTGCGTGTTGGCGGATTTATTAGTCTTTAAATTACATTTACCCTTAGTTAACCAGATTTTTTCTTAACGTTTTGTATGTCTCGACATGGTATATTTTGTTTTGCAAATCAGCACTTAATTAATAATTTCATACGTGTCGTCCGCAATCAAACTCAAATTGCTTGCGTTCTCTAAACTTTACAGCGAGCACTTAACTGAGCTAAAAACATTCGTATTAAATAAACAAAAATATATCAGTCGTTTTAGTAGACAAACAGGACGTGTTTGTTATTTCCACCAGCGTAGGAGTAAAGTCCGTCGCTAGTCACTGAGAAGATGATAAGGAAGACGTCCGTTCTAATGAATGTGGTTCGTGTAAATTAAGTAACATTTGTCATCTTTATTGTTATTTAAAGAACGAATTTAAAAAACGTGTAACTATCGAAACAGAATCTGAATTTCAAGTTTCAAACTTAAGCTCTTAGGCTAAAAATTGTTTTGTAAAAAAAATCCTACGATCACGAGGTTTTACAGTAAAAATATTTGGCTACTACTGCGTAAGTTTAAATAGTCGTTTAGTCTAGAAAATTTGGTTAGTATAAAATTAAACGAACACGTGGCCTCGCATTCTGAGTTCCTGACTGACTACTCTAAGGGTCCTGGATTAAGATATCAGCCGTCACACATTAGTGCAAAAACCTGAATAGAATATTTTAGTCTAGGTTGATTGCGATCCATTTAACATAACCAAAAATTAAGAAAATTAAAATTGCAGCATTTATATGTCTCACTACTGGACACAAGCCTCCTCACATTTCTGAGAGGTTTTTAGGGCAAGGAAATGTGCGCCGCGCTTCCCCAATGCGTGTTGGCAAAATTCACATGTCCTCGAAATATTTTTTTTGCCATAGTAGTTCAGATGATTACCACTCGCTGTAAATTAACAGTACTCGCAGGTACCAATGAAATTGTTAATTGTAGTTTTAAGTGCTGCTTCACCAGGTGCTGAGCGATGCAGGGAAACGTCGTGATGAAACCTGCATGTCTGAGAAATAAGCAAAAAAAAATATTATAATGATTTAATTAAAGGCACATATATACGCACGCAATCTCGGTTCAATCACTTCAATCTGCGACAACAACAACTATATTATAGGGCCGAATACTTTAAGTCTAAAAAATATTTAGCATGCGATACAACTTTATGGTGTTTAGCCTGCTGTGTAAGGCAGGTTATATAAGTAGTAAAGGTTCAGATCATTAAAAAATGTTCCTAAAATTAAAAAAGTAATTTGAAACATAATTATCATATTTTTGTTGCCAATTTTTACAGATAATAATAGCGTTGGAATGATGAAATATAGTATATATTTAATATAAAAACGTTGGCAACCCCAGAATTGACTTTTGGTTTGTGGCACTATAAGGTCTTTTTAGTTGAGAGCTTGTTTAGAACGAAATATCAACATTATGTTTAAAGTTTTGTCAGGAAGAAATCGATATACGAGTATCGGTTCTACTTTCATATTTTTATATTAAAGTGACAAACTACCAAGTGGTGAGTAGCTAATACAGCCCGTGGATGTCTGCAAAGAAATCTGATGTAGCGTTACCTCTAACGGCTAAGATCGAATAACTCACCTCACATTCTTTTCTAGCAATTGAACAGACAAACTTACAGACCACCTTGATAACTAAATGGTTACTCTGGCTCATAAACAACTGCAAATTACTTCAAAGAAAAAATGCTTCAGATGAGTGAGTTGTCACCTCTGAAAACAAAGATGTTCTTACAGTCTGTCATAATAATGTTTCTCAATACTTTTCAGCGACGAACACAGCAGTGCTCGCACTGCTTAAGTTAGAAATAATTAAAAGGTTCGTATCGACCCAGACGTACTCCTATGTTTGAAGCAAATAGTAGGGGTTCCCTTTGACGTCAGAGAAAGTTGAACATAACTAGATTGTCCCCAAAAAAGCCCTATTGCCCAGTAATAACCAACTTTTCCAAGGAAAAAAGAACTAATTCCTTGGTAACTTTGACTTTGGTTATTAAATATAACCTGCATAAAGGTTTTAATTATACTAAGGAAATAAATTCGACTCAAAATCATCCCAAGCTACTGAAACTTGAAATAGAGGTTCCATTAAACTTTGACATTATAAATTCAAAAGTATATTTATGTTTACCTGCAACATGAGCCCAGAGTCTTTCTAAAAGCGGCTCTAAAGTCTCGGTTGAAGTAAGCGTAAATTAGCGGATTAAGTGCGGAGTTGAAGTACCCCACCCAGAACACAGCTGCGACTACCGGAGGGGGGATGGGCAGGCGTCCCCGCAGAGTGCTGTGATAATGTACCTGAAAAAATCGTTGCTTTAAAACAGGTTCTTTGGTATTTGTTTATAATATTCTGAACAGATACAGATACAGACAGAGACTATGAATATGTATGTGTGTGTACGACAACTATGTGTGTGTAACAATCTCTTTTATACTGTCCGTCCAGCAGTGGCTGTTTCATTGTCTGTCTTATAACGAAGCAAAAGAAAAATGTATACGTCCTAAATGTAAAACTCTAATAGTCTTACTCCCAACCGCTAAAGATATATTTATTTACACACATACATTATATATTATAACAAGTGAACATTGTTTATAGGATTGATCTCAAGGATACCTTGAAATATGAAGGTCTTACGAGGAGCACTCTGTATTCCTTATTCTTATAGTTTGATGGGACGGTGAAACCAACCAGCGGCAAGACGAACGCGGAGTGATCAGGCGCAGGACCAACTTCTTTTCTTGTTTTCCGAGGCACGGAGTTCAAACACCGTCAAGTTCCTAACTCCGTGTTGCTACCGAAAATTTCTTGATAGAAAAACTCTAAATTCTGGCCCAATACGGGATTATATCTAACGCATACTCGGAAGCCACGTGTAGCAAGAAGACCAACGAGGCAGTAGGTTTCGCTCCTGCGCCTGATCTCTCTCCGGCTGTTTATTCTCTTATGCTTAGTGAATTCACCTTCGCTGCCACCACACGGCGACCATCAATACAATACTGTGCAACCAATACTACATCTATACATGTAAACAAATAATAAAAATTTAAGCTGCTGTCATCCACTAGATGGAGTGATTAACTAATAAAAGATGCAAGAAGTCGATGGAAACAGGCTCGGGACCGGATTTTTTGACATTCCTTGGTGGATACCTATGTTCAGCGGTGGACGTGTGATGAACAGTAATGATGATTATAATGATGATTGCGATGAGGTGATGAAGTGTCCGTATAACGTAATAACTGCCTGTTATTGAGCTCAGGCTCATTAAGACATGAATAATCATTTTCAAAATGTTTGTCTGCCTGTCGGTAAGTCCAGGATAATCTTCGAAGTGACAGAACCGGTTACGAAACTTCACGAACAAATAGAAAAAAAAGCCAAGAATAATATGTCGTGAACCACTCCTAACACAAGCATTTTCGAGCTTACCAGGAGTGGTTAAAAGGAATATTAGTAATGTTAATTAATAAGATTACTAATATTGTTTAAAAAAAATTAAAAACAAATATACGTCATACGTAAAGTATGACGAACTAAAAAAGAAAGAGATTTCTTTCAAAATAAAATATCGATACAATAAATGGTAATATCAAAAAATCTCACCACCGCAACCAATACGTTTATATCAATTTGTAAGCACTTTGTGCCAAATGGATAAATAAAAGATGCAATGTTTTCGTACCTTACTCTATGTTCGACCTTGATCCATAAAATATCAAGATCATATTATAATCAATACATATTTTATTCACTAGTCTACTTATGCGATCGATATTCAGAACTATATTTACTTGAAGGCTGTTTTATTCAACGTTTTAAACGTGGTAGAGCCATGCTGCAGTTATATTAATAGTATAGTTGTAGCACGAATGGGTCAGCTCGATCGGGGAAGGACCACGCTCTCACAAAATACTAGCGAAAGATAGTAGCTTAATGCTGCCGTGTTTCGCATGGTGAGTGTAGAGAACCGGAGACCCTTTTTACTGGAAACGAGGCATTCCATCTTAGTCCTCACGGGTGACAACGCATCTTCATTTTGATTCTTAATCGAGGATATATGTAGAAGTCTATGGGCCACAGCAATCACTTACCATCAGGTGGAGTATGTGCTCGTTTTTCACCCCTTCCTATTAAAAATACTATTATTTATTATACAAAAGATAATCTCACTCTCTCTTTCTCTCTCTTTATTTCTCTTTTTTCTCTATGATTAAGGTCAGGACCAGTCACAGCGCGGTGCAGAACAGGATTATAGTGCAATGAATGTATGTGCAAGAAAAGTGCACTATCGATTATCTCACTCTAATAGTTTAATGAGATAGAAATCTGACACGATCGGAGGTCATCGAGAGACTCGATTGCTCTAAGGTTAAGGGAGACTCCTTTAACTAGAGCAAAGTCTAGCACATCAGGAGCGTCGCGCACAGGAGGAGACCTCGAAAGGGGCTCTGTCTAGTCCCGACGGCTCTATTGCCTTCGAGGACGAAGAAAAGGCTGAGTGCTTCGCCGACAGCGTCGCCGATCAATGCTCTCCCAGCTCACAACCCACTGACCCCATACACATCCAACTAGTGGAGGACGAGGTCCGTCGCCGGAACTCACCCCCTACCGCCTCTGACCCTATCACTGTGTCCAAAGATGAGATTTCATCTACCATCAAAGGACTTAAGCCCAAAAAAGCACCGTGTGCGGATGGCATCTCCAACCAAGCCCTCAAATACTTTCCGGAGCAGGTGATCGCCTTATTGGCCATAATCTTCAACGCCTGCTTCGAATTCAGCTATTTTCCGACCTCTTGGAAAGAGGCAACTGTCATTGGTATTCCCAAGCCAAGCAAACCTCACCACCTCCCCTCCAATCACCGTCCCATCAGCCTCCTCAAGGCCATGGGCAAACTTTTCGAAAGAGTCATTCTCGTGCGCATGAGGCGCCATTTGTTTCCCACAGACGGCGACCCTCTTGTCATCCACAACAATTCGGGTTTCGAGCCAAACACTCGTGCCCCCAGCAATTTCACCGCATAGTGGAATATATCCTCAGCGGTTTTTATCCTCGTCGTCAAAAAACCATCGCGGTCTTCTTCGACATTGCCAAGGCATTCGACAGAGTCTGGCACGAGGGCCTTATCTACAAATTGTACGACTTAGGCCTCCCAGACCGTCTCGTTTGCCTTGTAGCCTCTTATCTGAAGGATCGTACCTTTCGCTTTAGACACGAAGGCACGCTATCCTCTACTCGTCAAATCAAAGCCGGTGTCCCTCAAGGCTATGTGCTTGCCCCCCTCCTATATATACTATTCACTAACGACATCCCTATCCCGTCGAATAGTGTTAAACTAGCCTTCTTCGCAGATGACGCAGTCCTTTACTCTAAAGGCAACTCACTGCCACAGATTCGGAACAAGATCCAAAAGTCAGTAAGCGACTTAGGAGCTTGGTTCCAAAAATGGCGTATCGACGTAAGCCCGGAGAAGAGCTCCGCCGTTTGATTCGAATACAAACGACGCCGTCCCACCACCACTCCGCCAATCAGGATGTTAGGAACCCCTGTCCCATGGCAAACTACAGCCAAATATTTAGGCGTCCCCCTTGAAGCAAGGCTCACTTTCGAACCCCATATCAAGAAGGTTACTCGCACAGCACGATTTTACATCGGTAGGCTCAACAGAATGTTGGGCAGACACAGTAAAATGTCCCTCCGCAACAAGCGAACCCTATATAAGGTCTTCATACGACCTGTCATGACCTACGCGGCCCCCATTTTCGCACATGCTAAGCCCAAAGCTATAAATGAACTTCAAATAGTTCAAAATATATTCTGCCGTAGGGCCACTAACTCGTCCTATGTCCGTAATGCCAACCTACACCGAGATTTAGAGCTCCCAACAATCCAGCAGTTCCTTAAATCACTCTCTGAGAGATTTTTCAAAGCCTCAGAGTCCCACCCAAATCATCTCATTCGTGAGACAGCTGCCTATGCAGCCCCTATCCACACTCGCTATAGTGTGCGCAGACCGAGAAACTCTCTCTCAGATCCCCCCAACAAGCTTTCGGCTGACCTGAACTGCCTCCTGGCGGCTCAGGCCGAGCCTACATAACACATCCCTTAATATGCCTTAGTTAGGCACTCGTCGAAGCGGCTTTTCGCCGCTTGCGCCCTCCTTTCTGCCAAGGAGGGTCGCGTTCTTATACGGCTTAGAGATCTCTAGTTAGACCGTTAAGCCAGTCCCTAAAAGGTGGGGTTTATTGGCTAAAAGTCTCCACATAACCACGCAGCCGGCTGCGTGGTATGCTATGAGCATTCCCCACCTCCCTCCCCCGTTTTCCGGAGGGTTGCCCATATTTGCTTCGGCCGCAAAAAAAAACGATCGGAGGTGGATCAGGTGCAGAAGAAGTATCGACTGCCTCGTTTATCTAAAAACTGCTAATCGTGGGGAGTTCAATTCCTGGGTTGGATCAAAAATAATTTATTGAAGTTTTCTGTCAAGAAATTTTCAGTAGTAGCCCGGGGTCCGGAGCAATGTGGTGGTTTTCTTCTTCTTCCTTCTTGCCTCTGAAAACACGAAAGGCCGTTAGTTCTGCACCTGATCTCCCTGCGGTCGTCCTGACGTCGGTCGGCATCTCAGCGACCTATAAAAGTACGCCTGTGTTTGCACTACATTGTACGCACACACACACACACACACACACACACGCACACACACACACGCGCGCGCGCGCACACACTCACTCAGACAAACACACACACACACACATTCCGTCACACATTTCGAGGACATTATTATTATTAGCTCAGACCTATCTTGATGAACGTCACTCGAATAAGGTTAAAATAATTGGAATGAAATGACGAACCATAAGAAAAATGGTAGCCAACATGCCAGGAAAGCCGACATTATAATCCCAAGAGTTCTCGCTGCTTTTCTCTCCCTCTTCATCTTGCTGCTTGCCATCGGTTGCATTTGTATGCTCTGCCGTTCACGCATCACGTCTCCCATCGAGATTCCGTTTATCTGCAGGTGCTTGTCTAGCAGCAACGCCGCCACTTTGCTCCTGGAATACAAGATATATTTAGAATACATAAGGTTTAAAATCTTCTTACTCACTATAAAAATCCGTTGCTGGACACGGGAATCTGGGTATCATGGGCTGTTTTCTAATGGGGTGAAACTGCCCTGCAGCTATAGTATGGTTGTAGCACGAATGGTTCTGCTAGACCGAGGGACCACACTCACACACAAGATCAAAGTAAAATGGCAGCTTTCAGCTGCTGTTTGTATGATGAGTGTGTAGAACTGGAGATCCTTTTTACTGGAAACGAGGCATTTCATCGTAATCTCAGGTTGTTACCCCTGTATAAGCATTTTGATTCTAAATTGAGGATAAATGTAGACGTCTATGAGCCACAGCATCCATGAACTAACAAGTGTGCCCGTCAATCACCCTTATTCTATAAAAAAAATCTTCCAGCCTATGCTCAGTTGCGTAATTTTTATCTTCCCCTAAACAGCTGGACCGGTTTTGAGGAAATTTTTGTTTGTGTTTGAGTAGGTCCTAAGATGGTTTATATTTACAATAATACCTGCTGTTGTTCAGATCAATAAATCACCCGTGTGAAGCCGGAGTGGATCACTAGTTTGTGTGTGGTTTCATTTTTACATCGAGGCATAAGCATGTCACAAACTACGCAGATTATTTTTGTATATAACGCTCTAGGAAATTCAATGAACTAACATACACAGCGCAGAAAAATTATATTTTATCTTTTTATTTATTATATATAATGTTAGTGTAAGCTCTTATTAAAAAAAGTAGTCCCGCTGGGTTTCTTGCTGGTTTTTCCCAGGACAGAGGTTTTTTTTGCGAACCAATAGTAATGCAATAAAAAATGACTTCCAATAAGTATTATTTATTATAATCCATATTGAATTAAAATGTTTCTGTTTCTACAGTAATAATATTATCTGCTCATACAAATATATCAGCAGATAATATCTGTAGATATAAATATAGCACACGATTTAACCTTTTTTTATAGTATAAAGTTGGCAAACTATTCCACGCGAAAGTACGTGGTTGCTGTGGCCCATAGACATTTACATCTATCCTCGATAACAAACCAAAATGCAGATGCATTATCAGATGTCATTGTAAGATGGAATGCCTCGTTTTCAGTAAAAAGCGTCTCCGGATCTCTCACCAAACGAAACACAAGCAGTGTTAAGTTGCTATTTTACGCTATTATTTTGTGAGAGCGTGGTTCTTCCCCAGTTGAGCCAACCAATTCGTGCTACAACTGTAGCTATATTATATAGCTACAGCGTGGCTCAACCACGTATATTTATACTTACATTTTTTTAGTTTAATACTTTGTAAAAAAGACCTCTTGAATTTGTCCGACTTAGATTTTTTGTTTAATATATGAGTAATTTTCTATATACAATTTTTAACGCAGGTCACATTTTACTTTAAAACTAACTTAATTAGAAAATTATTGTATGGTACTAATAATGTTGATTTGATCACTTATTTTAATTATACTTAATTTTATTACTTCCTTTTTCATGTTCACGACACAATCTATTTTAAGCGAAATATAAAATTAACAATAAAAAAATATAAAGACACTTATTGAATTTCGATCGTGTAGTTCAAATGTGCATTAAAGGCGTATAGTCCCACTAGAAGAAGAGTAGAAGAAGTTTAAAGAGAGTTTTATGAAAAAAGAATAGAATAGAACAGAATATAAGACATAGATTTAACAAATATTACAAGTTATATTTATTAAAAATCAAATATAAATTTACCAATAGAAAAAAAAACTTCTGTCCTGAGAAAAAACCAGCAAGGAATCCAACAGGTATTTTTAAACATTAATTTACTACTTCGCTATTTACTGTGTACTCTTTAGTATCCTTAGCAAACAATTTTTGCTTAATATTTTTAGAGGCATATTTTCTAGAATAAATTTGTTCAGTATTAAGTAATACATATTTTAAAATCATTTAAAATAGAATAGGCGTAGTCGGGGCACATGAGAAAGTCGGGCGGTGACCTAATTAATATTGTGGAACCTTATTTTAAGGACCGTTTGACCTGTCTCACCTAATCGTTATTTGGGACGACAGAATTAAAATATTTAAAGTTGCTTTTAAAATAATTATGGCGGATTTATATTTAAAAGGTAACTTAATGAGTCTGTTATAATGTTTGACTGTGCAAAACCGTATAACGCTGTACCTTAAAATATAAAAGAATCAAAAACATTAACTTTCTATAAAAAAATTTGAAAAAGCTTTGTTTTGAAAAAATAACCAAAAAAAAAACAAATTGATTTTAATGTAAATTAGTTTGTAGGCACCCCCACTTCCGTTTTGGTTGCATGAATTTTTCAGTTATTACAATTTGTGCGCGACGTTCAAACTTATGTTTACTGTTTTCTTTAATTGTTAGCCCACATCTATATTTATTATTGTGTATGCTCGTAATGAATTCCTTTATTATTGTTTGTAAATTGTATAATTTCTCGTAAGTAATTTTTATTCTTTTGGGGAATAAATAATATCTGAAACATAAACATTTAAATATAATTTTAGCCCACGATTTTTGCCTTACTAATACCGTGTCCAAATAAGGTCACAGAAAAAGCGTAAAACCAAAATGGAGGGTGTTAGAAAAAAGAAATAATAAAAACGACGGGTTGCACTCCGGGAGTGCCGGCAGAAGTGAAAAATTGAATATTAACATTGCGCATTTTTGATATTTTGGAATGATTAGGTAATAATTTTTTACACGAATTGTTTTATAGCACATGAACATTCGCGCAAGCGCCCTGCGCCGCCTAAACGAAGCAGGCGCAGGCATACATTTTCGCCGCGCCGTAGAAAGAGAGGGGGATACTTCCTCTCCTACGCCGCGCCGGCTGTCTCTTTCTCTCCATCCGTCTTACGAATCACGATCAGGGTCACGTGTCCTGTCTCGAGTTTAACATTTTTTACCCATTACAAAAAAGTTTACAACGCCGCTAAATAATTTTTCACTTCAAAAACTTAAAGTTACAGCCTATATATGTACCACTTCTTGGCACAGGCCTCCGCTTTTATAGGAAAATCTACATTTATGCATGTAATGTAATATATTATATACTTGCCTATTCTATCAAGCGCAACACTAGGATTTCCTTCTGTATCTTGGTATCGTGAAGGTATTTAAAACAAATAAAATGCAAAAGGACCTGACATCCAGATCTCAAACTATTATTTGTAAGCCGTACGAATACTTGTTTCATGCGGGATGCCGCACGTATTCAATTTAGTTTTTTTTCCATTTACATTGGTTTAGAAAATACCTCTATTATGGGAAGAAAAAACAAAGCCACCGGCGGGATTTCTTATAGTAATATGTTTACCTATTTGTATTTATTTTGTAAGCAACTTTGTAGCGATCACATTATAAAAAGTTTAATTCGGATCATGAATGAATGACGGATGTTGGCCACAGGATTCCGTGATCAGGATGGCTATTAAAGCAGGCCGCATTAATCTAGTAATATGGCGAAAACAAAATTATAATATGTATTAAGGGCACTTTTAGATACTTACAAAACGTTTCATAGAACAAAATTTGAATAGAAAGAAAAATAAATATTGTATGTCAAAAAATATGTTAATATAAACAAACAAGTAATAAAATTAAAAATGTTGTACAATCCACTTCAACATAATTAAAATGAGAACATCAATGTATTCGAAGTCAATTAAATACGCATTATTTAAGATAACTAAAAAACTACTGGTCAGACCTTAATTAAATTTATATGGGACCACACGAAAAGCACCAGCTTTTAGATAGGCATCAGAATCGGTTCACCCAGAGAAAATTTATGAGGAAGTCATAAAAACACGACGAAGGACAATTCGAATTGAATAACTCCTCCTTTTTGAATTCGGTAAAAAAGATAAAATAGGAAATGTGGTACAATGGGCGGTCTTATGATTTTTTTTTCACTTTTACATGAATAAAAAAATTAACATAAGCCATAATGTATAAAATAATTAAAGCTCCGACATAAGAATGTGAAATTATTTTATACTTTTTAGCGCTATGAAGTCAGCATTTATTTCTTGTTAAAAGTTTTTTAATTTTTTTATTGGAGTTAGGAATATCTCGATCTCAGTTATGGAACAAGGAAATTGAATTTTTATTTTTTTAAAGTGGTAGAGCCACGCAGCTATTTTAGTAGTATAGTTGTAGCAAGAATGGGTCAGCTCGACCGGGGTAAGATCACGCTCTCACAGAATACCAGCATAAAATAGCATAAAATAACAGCTTAACACTGATGTGTTTCGTGTGGTGAGTGTAGAGAACCGGACACCCGTTTTAATGTAAACGAGGCATTCCATCCTAGTCCTCACGGGGTGAAAACGCATCTGCATTTTTATTTCTAGTCGTGGATAGCTGTAAGTTGATGCTGTGGCCCATAGACATCTGTCTATGGGCCACAGCATCCACTTACCATCAGGCAGAATATGTGCCCGTTTGTCATCCTTAAGCTATAAAAAATGTCGCCCAAATAGTTACATTAAAAACTTTATCCCCTAATTTGCTACCCTTAGAGTAGATTTTTACTTCATATTTATACGGAAACAGCCTTGAGTTATAACCTATTTAATAAAAAAGAACCTTTAAAATCGGGTCTGAATTAGCGAAGATATCGCGTACCATACATACAAAAAACATAGGGCAGAATTTTGTACCTCTTCCTTTTTTGAAGTCGGCTAAAAATAAAATAAATATCATGTATATCGATCGCGCATACCTATTAATGTCATATCACGTACCGTGGACGTTGTTTTGTTTCATATGAACGTTCACTATCCTAAATATTTACTGTCTGATTACTTATCTTCCTTTAGTAGATTTGGTTTATGATAGTTTACTTAAGTTTACTTTTTGGTATGCACGTTGACGTTGAAGTTTACGCCGTGTAGTTGCAGCGTAAAATAATCAAATTTAAGAGAATTGTGAAGTGCCAATACGCAGTGCTGTTTCACATCACTCTCTCCGTATCGTCGTCGTGCGATAGAGAGAGTTGTAAATGTCGGAAGTTTGTCTATATTTTCTTTTTAAAATATTGCTTTGAGCGATAATGTTTTCACCCCCCTATACCTTTACGAAATGAGACAATTTTGTTATTCATTCAGTCGTGTCAGATTCATTATACCTTAATTTAGGTCTATACGTTTTCTTTTTTAGTAATTCAATTTAGTTTAATTTAAAAAAAAAACGCTCGAGGAAGTTTTTAAGTCAAAAATATAGATATTTAGATGCTAATAATTTATATCGTACGCAATATTTCCTTAAAATAAAAACATACGGACTTAGTATTTTGTTATATATCTACAATATTTCCAAAAATAGTGAAAATGTAGACTATGTTTACAGGAAGGAAACCGTTATCGCTTTTTGTACGAAAATTTATAGCTTCAAAATCCTCTTAAATGTCATGCTGTAAAAATCAATAATTTCAAAAGTAGTATATGTCAATGGTAAAAATGTGCAAAATTAATGAATCTTAACTGTATACTGCCAGTAACGTATTTAATATAATTATAACAAAACTGTTACAACAATTCCGTAAAATTTAAAGTCAAAAAGAAAGAAATTTAGATGTTAATAGCTTATATCGTTCGCAATATTTCCTTAATATAAAAACGTATGGACCTAGTTTTGCATTATATCTACAAGATTTCTAAAAATTATGAAAATTAGACTACGTATACCGAAGTTATCGCGTTATCGGTTTTTGTATGAATATATACAGCTTTACAATACTTTAAAAAAAATTCATCAAAATTATTATGAGGGAAATGAAACCGGAGACAATAGGCAGTTGTTAAATAGCCCCTAATAATTCAAAATATTTAAAAAATTACAGTCGCGAACTCCAAGTGAAAAGACCATGGCAAACATCTCCATTACAGGTAATCCATGGTCGAGTATAAGGTTATAATGAATGCATAGACGAATTCGTGTTGAAACTGGACAAAAACATAACTATAATAATTATGAGTTGGTGCCGTAGCCAGGACCATCGGTCTTCTTGATCTAACTTTTGGTTGGAAATAAAAAAAAATGTATAAAATACATTTTTAAAAAATATTTACAAATGCATCATTTTGTATCCCTATCTATCACCGATACATGTTATGTCATCGCGTACGTTTTTTATGTGAGTTTTATTGTTATTAGTTACTAGACAGCGGGACGAGCGAACAATCATTTGAATTATTTTACATTGTTTAGTAATTGCTATTGAGTTCTTGTCCGTGGCCGTGGAAGGAAAAGGAGAGATGTGTCGCCTGGCAAGGTGATCTCTATCCAGGAAGCGGCCAATAGCGCAGTAGCTTCGAAATTGTGATAGCGCGATTTAGGCTTCGGTGCGTTTTACTTGTAGCGCGACGACAGCGCCGCCACAAATATCAAGCGAATTTATGGAATACTAGCGAACTTATCGATTTTTAATTACTTTGGAAAACGATTATTTAGTAGACACAGTTCATCAAGCCCTGCTAAAATGTTAGATCTAGTAGGAGATTGTATATTGATTTATTATTGTATTCACTCAGAATAAAAGTTTTTAAGTATTTATATATATTAAGTATTTTTACATATATTAAGTAACTTGAATAAACATTCGATAGAAATCTTAACAGATTTTCGAAAATACATAATATATTGTATACAGCGGTTATATGTATAAACGTTATACACTATTTACATATTCGGTGCCCTTATAGCTAAGGCATTAAAGAGGAGGAGGAGAGGAAGAGGAAGAGGAGGAGAGGACTGTATAAAGGAGACGGTCCTGGATCAGGCGTCCAGGGGACAGGCTTAGTCTATGTACACTATAACGTAAAAAGGCAAAAATTTAAGGGATTTTATAAAAAATAAAATAAGAGTATAAATCAAACTAAATGACCCGCTAAAAATGAAAATACAATCCCAATTTTTGTTGATCTTACAAGATGGCGCCCTTCCAGTCATAAAATTATACGTCAAATGTCATGTTTGACAAGTTACTTGAATCATGAAATCATGTAGGTAGAGTGATATTTTTTTGTTTATTCCGAGCTTGTTCGTGTAGTTGTGAATTAGTGACTGCGTTTATTGTGTTTCTTTTGGATTTTTTCTTTAAATTTCGAGCTTGTTAAGGAACTTGACGGCGTATTGATAAATAATGTGTTAATGATTTCCCATTATTTTTGCATACTTATTCGATATAAACCTCTTTTGGATATTTGACTTAAAACTCCTTTAAATAATGTTTATTCAGTGACACATTATCAAAACACATCAATATCTCCGAATATGACACACAGGCACACACACACACACACACACACACACACACACACACACACACACACACACACACACACACACACACACACACACACACACACACACACACACACACACACACACACACACACACACACACACACACACACACACACACACACACACGCTCGCACGCACGCACGCACGCACGCACGCATGCACATGCAAAAGTGGTATAATATATTATTTTAATTTATTTCCCTACTTGTACAAAACCAGCCCTACACTACATACAATTTAAGAACGCAAATAAATATAAATTTATATAAAGAATGCCAAAGTATGTATATGAAGATGAAGGTAGAAAAGAAATACGGGAGTTTATAAAATATTTAATAACTACTTATTGTGCACAGAATGTGTGAGTGAGGAAATATCAAAAAATGTTTATTGAAAGTTTTGTATAGAATAGTGAAACAAGGAGTTCGTTTTCAGTTTATTGTGATGTGAAAACATTATATTACATAGAAAGAAAAACTATTGAGTAAAATACGTTTTAATACCTTTAATATTAATTAGAATATATGATTGAATAAGGTAAAATATCTGTTTAGTTGAAGCGCTGTGGGTTGCAGGTTCAATTCCTGCATGAAAAATTACTTTGTACCTCCAAATAGTTTACAGATAATCCTAGGCCTGGTTGTATATTAAACGCACTTGAGATAATGTAGAAACTTTTGCAGATCCTGAACGACTTGTACCATAGCTCACATAGTTTGCTTTCAGATAGTCCGCCGCTCCATTTCGACCAGTGGGTGTCGTAAGAAAAGCCTATGGGATAGTCAGAAATATCTCACGGCTTCCTATAAATATCTGTTTTCTTCTAAGAAGTTTGACTTCTTAGTATATTCTCTCGTATTCTAATAAACAGGCACTACAGTGGGTAATTTACGGTCAATCCTCCGTAAATTTTTTATTCGACTATGAGCGTTTAAGCCCATTTTTTTTTTGTAATCAGGGAACGTTGTGTTGACAATCTAACACTGTTTTCATTTAATGTCAAAAAGAAACTTTTTATTCAATATTAAATATGCCTCTGTCCTGGGAAGAACCAGCAAAACCTCATCGAGACTTATAAAAAATAACAGCTTAGAATTGTTAAAGTTACTCAATAATTAACAACACAAAATAAATTAGAAATAGCATGGTAGCGATCACTTCATTCCCAAAGGTTATTATCATCCATAAATTCCTTAATATAATGTTTAATATAAGTGACTAATCTCTACTTCGGGTGGTTCATTAAGTGCAAGGCCAAAGCAGCTGCAAGTATGCTAGGAGTCCTTGCAAAGATGCAGCGATACTTCACGCTGGGACAGCTGCTTACGTTTTATAAAGCGCAAGTGTGATCGTGCATGGAGTATCGCTGCCATATATGGGCTGGTGCTGCAAAATGCCACCTAGCAGCTTTGGACTTAATGGAAAAGCGTGCTAAGAGGCTTATTGGTGACCCAAATTTGGTTCAAACCAATCTTACTAGCCTCGAACACAGGCGCAAAGTGTCCAGCCTTTTGGTTTTCTACAGGATGCATCGGAGAGTGTGCGCAGGAATTGCATTATTTAATTACTCTCTCTCCCTTCCACCATCGGACAACTAGATGTTCGGCCAGTCTCCACCCTTTCGTGGTTGGCTTACCACGCATAACCAAATGGTTTGCTACGTCGTTCATCATGCGTACAGCAAAGGAGTGGAATAAATTGCCAGCATATATCTTTCCATCCGATTACGGTGTGAGTGTCTTCAAAGCAAGAGTGAATAGGTTTTTATTAAATCAGTGCGATTCACCATCTTAGGCAACATCACCACTTAATCAGGTGGGATTGTAGCTAAGCGCTGGTTTAGAACAATAAAAAATAGTGTGGGATTATCCCACTAGATGGAGACACGTCCTGGTATTATACGCAGGAAGTCGATGAATGCAAATGGCTCAGGACCGTGCTTTGCAGCATTGCTTGGAGGGGGGCTATGTTCAGCGGTGGACCTGTGAAGGGCTGAATTGAATGCATGAAAATTTACTAAGAAAACGATGTCATTATTTATTTGCGCACTTTTATAATACGATTTGAAGTTAATTTCTGACAAGTATGTAAACTCATTTTGTATTTGCCTTAAATGAGTAACTTTTGTTAATGAAAACACAACCAGCGTAAAATAGCAGCTCAATGCTGCTGTGTTTTGTATGATGAGTGTAGAGAACCGGAGAATCTTTTTACTGAAAACGAGGCATTCCATCTTAGTCCTCACGGGTGACAACGTATCTGCATTTTGATTTGTAATCGAGAATAGATGTAGATGTCTAAGGGCCGCAGCACCACTTACACCTTCTTACCCATCTTTTAGTTCGTTTCCCTTTCTTGCCTTTTATGAAACGCACGAGACGATATTATGGGGTAGAGGAGACACCTCCACAACTTCCACACCAACTTCTACACCACCACGACTTGGTCTTTTGCAGGCTGATAAAAAAAGAAAAATATTCCAAATGGAAGCTTGGCTTACTAACCTGTATAACATTCTCTCTTGGCGGTCCGCCTCAATATAAATTCTATAATACATGAAGATCATTATTACTCCCGGTATCCAAAAACTGACACTACTCGATATTACCGCATATATTTTGTTCACAGTAAAACTGCACACTTTTGGGTGCCTTTTTCTAAAATCCAAGTGCTCGTGCGTGGTGTACCATCCCGCAAATATTGGAAGGAATGAAACCAGTGCCGGGCTGCACCATACGACAGCCAGCATGATCCCCAACTTGCCGCTTGTCATGATAAGTGGATAGTCCAACGGTTGAACGATTGCATAGTATCTATCAACGCTTATGCAACAGAGATGTAATATAGATGCCGAAGAAAAGTACACGTCCAGTGAATTCCAGACATCGCACATGAAGTATCCAAATAGCCATTCTCCATTGGTAATCTCAACGCTAAAATTGAAACACATAGCCCAGATAGCAACTAACATATCCGCTAATGCAAGGGACACAACAAAGTAGTTGGTGATGACGCGGAGCTTTCTATGTCTCATAACAGACACAATGACCAACAAGTTGCCAAATATAGCGGCCAGTATTATAAAGAGCATGATTAAACATTTCAAAATTATTAAAAATACTATGATGGCGTCATTTTCAAATTGGTTGGTGTATACGAAGTCGTTCGTCGTCTCGTTAATCTCGAGCGACTTGTTCACGTAGCTGTCAGTGAGATACATTGAAGTAGAAAGATCTCTAAAGTCTAATGTAATATTCTCTGGTGTGTCGGTCAAGACAATTTCAACTTTCATATTTCACATTTTGCTGCATAGTTAGCGGGATTAAGTCATGTTAATTTCTTTCGTCAGTGAAAACTTGCTCGTTGTGTGTAAATACTCATTGATGCAGTTTCCCATTCTGATGAGTTTGTGAAGTAGTACCTGGAAATGAAAAGAAAATATGTTAGATAAAACATATTTTACAACTTTTTTTTTCGTGTTTTTCCTCTAAATGAGACACCTTCCGGAGAAGTAGGCGTTAAAGATTTCTTAGCAGTTTTGTCAAACTAGATTATTATCATCATTACAGTGCTTCACAACTCAACTTCATTAGTTGAGTACACAGGCCTTCTCACACAATATGGTCCGGAGTCAAAGCAGCATTCAAAGATTTCCTGCATCTCATATCAGCACGTCACATCTGGTGTGGATTGCTCTACATTTCGCTTAATCAATAAGCATCCGAGAGAAGCAGCGGATATCCGTTCTCCGCCATCCATTTTCGGTTATTTTTTTATTTACTAAATTAGTTTTTCACTATGGCGATATTGGTGTTTCTTCAGGAAAGCCTAATGGTAATCGGATTAATGGTTTATAGTGGACGCAATTGAGCGAGGAAGGCCCTCATCAAACTAGTTAAGACACATATGCCTCTAAAATCTTAGCGATCAGCCACCACAGAGCCTCGTTAAGCGGCAAAAGACGTGTCGTATTATTGACGATATTATGTCTATCTTATAGTGTCGTTAGAATAAGTGGTAACGGGGAGAGTGTACGCAACTGAGAGAGGGCGAGAGGTGCTCTTAAAACTAGTATATATTTTTATTTCATTACGCAGATCTTAGCTAATCAATTTTTAACATCTTTAAGACTTACATAAAGTAAAGCCTGATTTTATTAATAAATAAATGAACTTATAAATAGCTAGTACCTGGATGACCGAGCTTTGCTCGGTTTTTTTTTGGAATTATATTTAGACACAAATTACATACTGATGAAACATGAATCCTATTTTTTGATCTTATTGATATAATAAAAAAACTGAACTGGTTAACACAGTGTCAAAATTTACCTTCTTATATTGTAGCAGTTTTTTATTGCCTGAAAACACGGACAAAAAGACATGTTTTAAAATAAATCCTATCTAGATCGATTTATTGCCCCTGAAGCTCCCTGAACACTAAATTTTATGAAAATCGTTGGAGCCTCTTCCGAGATTCCGATTATATATATATATATATATATATATATATATATATATATATATATATATATATATATATACACAAGAATTGCTCGTTTAAAGGTATAAGATAAGATTAAAAAGGTAATTGATTGTGATAGCAGACCAAATTAAAGTTGTAAATATTAAAGGTTAACGCCGCATTTCGAGAGGTGGCCTAATGGAGATGTACTATAAGGCTATAATAATAATGTACTCCAGACCGAATTTCGGTCACGGCGGCCAAACTCAATCGAGCCATCGGCGCAGGACAGGATTATAGTGCCCAAGTGTATGAGCAAGCACAGGTGCACTCTCTATTCCTTCACTCTCGTAATCCGATGGGACGGTAAACCGACACGACAGGAAGAGAGATCAGGCGCAGAACCAACGGCTTTGCGTGCTTTCCAAGGCACGGGGGTGAGACACCGCCAACTTCCTGACTCCGGGCAGCTTCTGAGAATTTCTTGACAGAAAAACTCAATAATAGATTTTTTGGCCCGACCCGTGATTCGAACCTAGGATCTCATAGTCAGCAGTCACACTACTACAACCACTAGACCAACGAGGCAGTTGGCTTTTTTTGTTATAAGTATATTTCCTTTAAAATACCTTAGTTGCTAACTTTGTATTTCATCCACTGTTAATCATAGGTGGTTTCTGAATTTTCTCGTGTTTACCTCAATCGTCACGGCTGGATGGACCATCGTATTAGCAGACGCCCATAAAATATCCAAACTGACGACAGATCATGTCGTTTGTTTGGGCATATAATATCTAACGCTATAAGTCACCCATGGTTGAATTTGAGCACTGTATTTTGTTATGCCTTTACCACTCGGCAAGTATTTTCAGTTTTTGATAATAAAATAAATAAAAACAACTTGAATTAGGAGTTCACTAGGTAGTAGGATTCGTTCTCTACCTAGAGTCCGTCTGTGAAGGTTCTTCTTACCTATTTCCGCTGTCACAAAGATTACCACGTGAGTCTAGGGGTCATAACCAAAATTGCTGATCACGTGGTCTCGGAGGCAGATTCCGAGTTAGGCGAAATCATTTATTGTTTTTTTTTTTTTTTGTTAAGAAATTCTCAGTAGCAGGCCAGAGTCAGGAAGTTGGCGGTGTTTTGCCCCAGTGCAGTGCCACGACAGTATGTAAAGCCGTTAGTTCTGCGCCCGATCTCTTTCCGATCATGTCTGATTACAATCTCATCGGACTATGAGAGTGGGATAATATGGAGTACACCTGTTCTTGCACATACACTTAAGTCTGACCGCCATGACTGATATAGTATCCTCCGGGAATAGAAAGTTCTATTGAATAATTTCAATATTTTTCTAGAGTGCCCGTATGTTCTTGCATACACTCGGGCACTATAATCCTGTCCTGCGCAGATATACTTAGTCTACGTTGAGAGTTCTGGAGGACATTATTATAGAGCCAATATACTTACAAGCTATGAGGCATACTATCTTAGTCCTCAGGTGGTGATAACGCATTCGTAACCTCTTTTGTATGAAGTTGGCTACAGGTGTCCAAAGGAAGGAAGGTGCCACTTACAATCAGGTAGACAGTAAGTTCGCGTGTACTTTGGATTCATTGTAGTGTAGGTATGTACTATGACGAAACAATTTAACTAAAATATTAAATGATATGCTCCATATGTTGAATATATGTGTCTTCATGAAATGTAGAAATAATATTAAATTAGTTTAGTAATATCATATTATATTTATAGAAGAAGACACCATTCAAGTGTCTCTAGCTGGTACCTACCTATGTACCTACGTCATACTTGCTATAAATAAGTATATTTCCATTCAAAAAAGTCGTTGTTGTTAAAAATCATCAGGGAGCTTAATTTCTTGTCTTGCGCCCACATTACATCATGAAAAAATGAAATTGCTAAGGGACGGATAAGACAGTTAAGGCCGATCCTCATTTGCCATTAACAGTTCGTTCTCGGTCCGATTTTGGTCTGATTTATTTTAAATTTGATTCGAGCAAAACTTGACTGTTATGGATAGTACGAATGCACACATATGTTTTTTAATTGATTATATTTCATTGATTCAAACTACTTTTACGGATTTAATCGCGTTTATTTATGCTATTTTTAATACCCAGCGTTTCGGGTGTTTTCCAGCACCCATGGTCACGGGGGACTGAGGTGACTGACGTCCCGATGTCAAAGTTAACCCGGAGTACCTTCAGCTTTTTAATTATTCTCTTTGGTCCGATCTACGCAGAATGAAATAACTGTGTTTTAAAGTCTTGCAGTGGTATGCTTGAGTTTAGTTTAACAGAGAGCACGAGGGATCTGTGACAGCAAACACCTGGCCGCCGAGCTTCAGCACGTCAAGAGAGTTCTGCACGACAATAAGCTTCGGGTCTCGTGCCTAAGTCACAGTGACCGAGTAAAGCCGGCCACAGTCGAGCTTGTGCCTGCTGTACCACCATATGTCAGAGGTGTCACAGACAAGATTGGCTACATCTTGAAACGAGCTTCTATTAGAACATTCTACAAGCCGCTGAAGAAGATTGGTTAGTTTTTACCATCCGTCAAGTGTCATATTCCTCTACAAGATGCAGGAGTGTACAAGCTTGATTGTGATGGTGGTCTCTCATATATAGGGCAAACAAAGAGATCAATTAGAACCTGCGTAAAAGAACACATAGCTGACGTGAAGGATCAACGTTCCGGGAAGTCTGCAGTTTGCGAACATATCCTAGATGCCCCAACCATTACATCAGATTTGATAGACCACAAATCCTCGCGAAAGAACATCGATTCCTACCAAGGATGATACGTGAGGCTATTGAAATAAAAAAAACACATTAATTTCAATAGAGAAGGAGGCTGGGAACTACCACCTGCTTGGGACCCTATAATTAATAAAATTAAAACTAAACCCAAGCATACCACTGCAAGACTTCAAAACACAGTTATTTCATTCTGCGTAGATCGGACCAAAGACAATAATTAAAAAGCTGAAGAGTGACAAACGAGCACACAGTCCACTTGATAGTAACTGGACGCTGAGGCCCATATACATCTACATTAATCCTCAATTAACGATCATAATGCAGATGCGTTGTCCCTTGAGGAGTGAGATGGAATGCCTCGTTTCCAGTAAAAAAAATCCTCAGATCTCTACACTTGTGAGTGTACCGATCTAAGTATCTTTTATAAACTTCTATGTAGATACAAAACAAAACCTACCTAAATAATGGTCTACGCGGGGTGAGCCGTGTACTGACTAAAGTATTCACTACAGCGCAAAAAATTTGTTATGTTGTCTAAAGAAACTATTAAAACATAAAGCGCCAGATAGCTAATAGAGTATAGTTATCACGCCACTAAATCGTCGTTAGCGCACGTAATATTATGACGCTTACGAATTTCGTTCAATCTTACATAAATAAAAAATCTTTTAAATAAAAAAATAAGCAGAAATGTAATATAAAATTACGTCCAGGTTCACACTTCGATTCAAATACTCGTATTATTAATGGCTTTTTAAACGCTCCTACACTCCATGTATGTTGGAGTTTATTAAGGATAACTCAAAAATTACATCTAATTTATATGAGACATTTGAAGAGCACCAGCTTTCCAATAAAAAAAGAATCATTAAAATCTATAAATCTACTTATTCTAGAAAAAACTTCCGAGGTGACAAAATTCAGTCGAATTGAGAACCTTCACCTTTTTATGAAATCGATTGAAAACAGGAGCTTTTACATTTCTGTACATCTGTGATAGGTTCGTATAGTAATAATATTCTTAGATATTTAATATTTTTGTAGT